ATTCTATTGTGTTGGTTTCTTCACATATTATTGTCGCTTTAGAGGTTATTACAGGTACATCTTCTGAGCAAATAAGATTTTCTTCCTCCTTTGAGTTATTCGTTTCAGCTATGTCAATTTGGTTTATTGGTGGTTCAGTTTCAGATGCAGTGAGCTCCGGCGAATTATGTAGATCTTCAGTATTAGATACATTTTCGTCGGAAGCAAGTGCAATACATGTTTCATTATCTGTTGTTGCTAAAGAAGATACTAATTCAATTTCTTCACATGGTACTTCCACAACTGTATCTGGTACTAATTCATTTGATTCACATGATATTGTCGCTTCAGTGATTACTACAGGTACATCTTCTGAGCAAATAAGATTCTCTTCTTCCACTGAGTTATTCGTTTCAGTTATATCAATTTGGTTTATTGGTGGTTCAGTCTCAGATGCAGTGAGTTCCGGTAAATTTTGTGAATCTTCAGCATTAGATACATTTTCCTCGGAAACAGGTTCAATACATGTTTCATTATCTGTTGTTGCTTCAGAAGAAACTAATTCGATTTCTTCACATTGTACTTCCACAACTGTATCTGATACTAATTCATTTGATTCTATTGCATTATTTGATTCACAGATTATTGTCCGTTCAGAGGTTACTACAGGAACATCTTCTGTGCAAATTATATTGTCTTCTTCTACGGAGTTATTTGATGCTTTATCAATTTTGTTTGTTTTTGTTTCAGTTTCAGTTACAATGAGTTTCAGTGAAGTTGGTAGTTCTTTAGCATTAGATATATTTTCCTCGGAAGGAGATTGAATATGTATTACGTTTTCTGTTGTTGCTAATGAGGAAACTAATCCAATTTCTTCACATTGTACTTCTGCAACTGTATTCTGAACTAATACATTTGATTCTTTCATGTTAATTTTTTCACAGATTTGGGTCACTGCTGGGGTTTCGACATGTGCATATTCAGAAGAAAGTTCACTACATTTCTCTACTGATTTTTTTGTTTCATTAATATCAGATTTGGGGATTGTTGTTTCTATTTCAATTGCAACGAGCTCCTTTGAGTTTTGTAGTTCTTTACTATGAGATACATTTTCGGCAGTAACAGATTGCACACATATTATATTATCAGTTGTTGATGAAGTAGACAGTAATTCAGCATCTTCACATTGTACCTCTAAAACTATATTTGTAACTGCTGTATTTGCATTTTGGTATTTGAGTAGCTGAACGTTCTCTTCAGAAACTGGTTGATCTTCGATAAATATGTCTGTTTTTGATGTAAATGAACTTAATTCACTTAGGGATAAAAGATGCTTGCTTTCTTTTATGTATTCTTTTTGGCATTCGTCATCGGACATTTCTTCTTGAATTACACCTAGTGTATGGTGCACTCTTTCTGTCGAACGTGAATTTATTTCAGATAAAGCTAAATCGCTTAGTTCCTTTAAAGAAACAATTTCATTCGGCGTTAATACGGTTTCCTGTTCCGCAGCAGGTATGGCAATCATAGGTCCAAGTGCTATTGCAGCAAGAATTTCTATAACTGAAGGACCCCGAGGTTCAGTTTCTTCACATGCATTATCACTTGGATCTGCATCAAAAATTTCTATTGTACTATATCCAGTGTAATCAGTCGATTCACACAAGTCGATTTGATTTAAGTCTGAAAACATAAACGACAGCTCAAAGTCGTTTCTTTTATCATGCAAAGATACTTGATTCCTTCGATTGGAAATGACATTTTGTGATTCTACTGGAAGCTCGATTGGTATTCCATGTATGATAAACTAGCTTATAGAACTATGCAATTTACACGAAAGGAAAATGTTTCATTTTAATTTACAGACTAATGTTAGTGTGAATCTATATTACTAGTTACATATGGGAAAATAAAAAATATTCTGACTTACCTGATATGGGTTCACACTCAATTTGGTCTGCTAATTTTAGTTGTTCACCTTTTGTGCTTGATACATTATTCACGTGCTCATTGAAAGTCTCCATTTTCGTCGATAGAATTTGTGTAATCTGTTCATTTTTTGTTTCAGTATATGTGGGCTCGGTTTCTTCTATTAGTGTGCCTGAAACTATGCTAGCACATTCTATTAGTTCATCAAGTGCCATTTTTGTATTTTCACCACCGATAACATGTTTATTCAATACACGATTATTTACTGATTTAGTATGCAGTAAATCTATTGATGAGTCATCAGTGTCTGAACCAAATTCTGAAAGATCACTGATTTCATCAGCTGTTTTATCACCAATTTGAGCACGTATATCTTCTGTGGGTGCAGGTACTAACATACCACATCCAGTTGTTGAAGTAGAATTACTCAATGATGAGCGTTTCTTTCTAAAAAGCCAGTTATCTTCCCAGGTGGCATCACCAATCTTACTAGAGGTCACCGAAACAAAGTCTAAAAATATATTTTATATAATGCCGTACAAATAAAGTTGTAAGTAATAACATACCATCCTCTTCAGATTCTGTTGGCGGCGCAGAAAAGTCAGGTAATGGTACTGTGTGGTTCGCAACATAATCGCTCAAAGCTGATTCACGTCCCAGTGAATTGTCGAGATTTTTATGTTGTTGCGATTTATCAACCTTATTGTTCTGTAAGATATTATATTATTATTTTCTTTTATATTTTTTTATAATTTTGAAAAATTTTTACTTTGAGTATTTGTTCATTGTCGGTGTAGCTGCATTCACTTCGTGGTTCGACTGAACTACATGAAGATATACTATTTTCTTCGATGTTAAAGTTTTCATCAATATTATTGGCACTTAAATCTGGTGAACTCTCCGAAAATAATCTTGTATTTCCTTGTTTATCAACAATCTAGAAATATTGTTAAAATTTTAAAGTTTGTTTATTAATGAAAAAATAATATATTTAAAAACAATATAATACAATATATTTATGAAACTATGGTATATTTATTTCTGTGTTGTAAAGATTATATAATATATTTAAATAATTGACGTAGTATTTCACAAATTAAGGGTGAAAACAATTACATTAAGTAAAAAGTTGAATGCAATATATATGCAAATAACAAAATATTCAGAAGGCAGGTTACTAAATGAGGCAATAGAAATTTTCTATTATTTAATTTTACTACTTGGAAAGGTGTCGATAGAAATATAATGCTTAGAATATAGTTTTCGAGGTTGAATGTACAACTACAAACGTTTTTAGTGTTACTATTCTATAAGGAAGAGACCAACATTATTTACCGGTAGAGTCTGCTCAACTAGAAGGATATACAAACAAACAGATAAAAATGAGCTCAAAAATGTAAAGAAATCTATTTATAAAATATATTCGATTTTTTTAAATACAATTTTTTTAATTTAATTAGAGTTCTCTCTACACCACATATATAGATTATTTTTAGAAATATAACCCATATCTGTGGAATGAAAAGCAGAAAAAAATTGCAGGTCAATGCGAATAATTTTGCAATTTTTAAGATTGATTTAGCAAACATTAACAAAGATATTGTAAATTTGAATATAAATTTTATATTTTAATATGTTATATATTAATAATATAATATAATATAATATATCATATTATATAATATTTAATTTTAATTAAATAATAGAAATAATTATTCTTCTTTTTTTAATATTTCTTTTATAAATTCATTTATGTAGATATTTAGATTATTTATTATAATGTTTAAATAAAGGTTATAGATTTATTAAATTACTTTTTCTTTCTATATTTATTATGCATATCATTATATATATAAAGAATATTAAATATATTTAATATTAGTCTTATTAAAATAAAATTTATAGATATGTAAAACTAATGTTATATTTATTAATACATTATTTACATATATATAAACATTATGTTTATTATATATAATATATTTATATAAACATTATGTATATTATATATATATATTTCAGATTTATTGTATTATATTTCTTCACATATTTATTATACATTATAAATATTTTAATAGGCTTAAGCATTCTAGACTTAAAATGCACTGCTTTTTTATCTTAATACTGGATGAAATCGATATGTACATTTGAATCCTTGTCTTGCTCCTGATCCTCCATTTCTAAATCTACATTGTATTTATGTTTTTATATTCAGTTTTGAATGTTTGTTTTTTAAATAATTAATTATATTTATATATATATATATATATGTATTTATTAATTTTTGACTTTAGTTAATTGTATTAATATAAATTTTGTTTTTTCTACAAGTACTTCACGTATTTTTACGTTGAAATTATAAACGTCTATTCAGCTAAACAGTTGAAAACCAACTAATTTACGCAATATATTCTGTAAATAATTGAAAATAGTTTTAAAGAAGAGTTGTCTGTCGAATTCTAAAATTCAATATTTTTTCTACATAAAGTAACAGGAAGGAATCCAAACAAATGCTCAATGAAAAACTTAACGAAAGTCTGAACTAGATGTGCAGATACAGGCAAATAGTGACAACAGTGACGACAGTGTGTTCAGTATTTAAGGTACTAAAATCTAAGTTACATTTTTAGATTTTGTCGTCATTATGTCAGACTTGGTTAGACCTCGAAATTAGATTCTTGACGTGGAAAATTTATTTGCTTACTTTTTCTATTGCTTCCTCGATAATTATCTTTAACACACAACGAACATTTTGAGTTCAACAAGTGTTTTAGATGTATTTTCCCTTTGAAACCGTCGTCATGTTTCATGTAAGCGCTTTGGGGTTCCCTTTGATAGTATTAAGTTCACTGACATTAGATGTACGAATAAGTTTGTATTTTATATTTATATATATTTTTATTTCCTTCAACATATGTAGGAGGTGTTTGCAAAAGGTAGGTTTTCTGTGTTATTTCTTTGTACCATTTACCTTAAAAAGTTTTTTTATTTTTTTGCATAAATAAAAATGCATAATGAACTTAAACGATTTGAATAAAAACCCGCTTTAGTTCCTTCCAGTGGTTTTTATTTCATAACCAAACATATTTTTCATTCCTCTACTACCGCTTTTCTAAGGTGAAAATAATTATACTAAGAATATTATAGACTTTAAGAAAAATTGAAAAACAATTAAAGAAATTACTATAAGTTTTTAAATGCCACATACTATAAATAAAACTATATTAACAATAACATTTTAATTAATGAGAATTTAACATAAACGTTGATCGTCCTAAATAGATCTAGATTCACATAAACTTGACGCCGCTGTAATACGATATGACGATAAAGGTTTCCTTCGTGTCTGGAAAGAACTGAATTAAAATATAACAAGAACACAGTTTCTTTTGGTATCATAAAAAACATAAATAACTCAGATTGAAGCTTTCATTAGTGGACTAATTCATCAGAAATAGATTAAAACTCTGCATACACAAAACCAGTGTGGCCTTATATTGTACAAATTTGGGCCGGAACCTCTAGAGCAGTATTGATATAATTCAACAGTTTTAAAATAAAGTTCTTGAGAATATGGTCAATGTTGCATGGTACGATATTCGTAGAGATGGTAGTATCACTGCAGTTTCTGATTTTATAAGATAATAAACGAAACTAGTAAATTTCTCAATACCACTGGCATGGTACGACAAC